GGTGGTCGTCGCGCAGTGCGTGTTCGTATTTCATATAAATAAACAATGTATTTTACACGCGTTGTATACGTTGCTATGAGTCCCATATCGAACAGGACGCGACACGACGACTGCCACCCTTTAAATCTATATATGATATGTTACTGAACAACTTTTGAGATATGGTAAAATATGATGCGGTATATTTTGCACAGAAACCAGTATTACAATGTAGTTTTAATTGTATTTACATACTCGGAGTACGTCGATCGATTACTATTTTTCTGTAATGCCATGTTTAAAATTGGTTAAAATAAATGTTTTTGTTATTGACAATCTAAGTAGTTATGATCATATTTATGACAATTCGTCAGCTTCAGCACTTCGTTTGCGCAATGGTATTGTTCTCAGTGAAGTAGAAACTCAGTGGTGACGAGATCCCTGTTTGATCCCCTCAGATTCACCTCTGTGTATTGTATTAACAAGTTAAATTAGACAGAACCTGTTTTCTCTCAAAGTGCCATAAAATTATAATAGATGTATTTGTTTTAAATGTGTGTTTTTTCGTCTATAAATTGATGGTTATACAAATCAAGAAAGTTCTGTGGAATTCGATTATATGTTACTTTTTCTTCGTATTATTATTGGTAATGTCCTCATGGTACTGAAATCGGAAAAATACTTAAGGTCGTCTGAATATTATCACAAATCAAGAATTATCACGAAAACGGCATTTGTTTTTTGTTTCTGTAGTGAAAGTATTTTCCTCGGTTCTCAAAATATTAGTCCCTCTATCAGAGAATGAGGATAGAGGGAGTGACTGTGGTCGCCGTAATACATTTTTATTGATAATGAATCTTAATATCGGCACGTTCAGGTGTAAAATAGCATTTAATTTAACGTGAGATCATGTTGCCGTTATTTGTGTCTCTAATAATGACAGATGTTCTCGGTAAACATTTAAATTTGGCTCGCATCTCCGATCACGTGATTACCAGGGATGTGTCTCACGGTTAAAGCCTTGCGAAGTTGCCACTACTAAAAACAGTTAGTAAACAATCTATTTATAAATTTATAAAAGTCGTGTAATATATTATAATAATGTCTACTTTAAACATGCATGCTGTTGTTCCTAACGATCTCACGTGAACCAAATGCGTACATGATATCATTGATAACACCATTTATATTACTGGAAAAACATCTGACGTCAATTGTATATGCTAGATTTCACAGAATAAAATAGGATCCTGGTTCGGGCTTTTATTTCTACAGTATTTTTCAGACATTGAATTTAATTGTCGGTAGTTAAATCTACTCGAATTTAAAAATAATTATCTTCAGTTTCACAAAAGTTGCCTGTTATGATATAAGGATGAAGAAAATGTAATACAAATGTTAGGTCATCGGGGGAAAGTTGATGTAAAGAATGGTGAAAACAGCGTGTTTTAGGACATGTTATCATTCCTTTTTATGGCAAAGATATATCTCAACATTTTCCTCGGTGCCATGGGTAAACATAATATCGTACTAGTATGTTTATAAACTTGACATTATTTTTATGGTTTTTAATGACGAAAACCATCAGTAAATTGCCATTGTATGTATATTATTTTTCCTAAAAGAGTTAAATTTTTAAACTAATTCCTAATGATGAAATAAAATCAATACAAATCTTATACAAGCCGTATACAAACGAGAGGTTTTGTTATCGTCGCTATATGGGGGCGCTTGCGATAACTAAATCGAGGTTCATTTCATTCCAATGTCATTGGTTCATGTAAATTACGACCCGGTGACCTCGTTTGTGATTGGTTTATTCGAAACTCGGCGGATATTCTGAACAGAGAACAGTACGCCCAGAGTTTTAAACGAAGAGGACTTGTTGAAGGTATTTATGAACATTTTACTCTATGTATTTTACAGTTTATTCTAAAAGAAAAGTGTAAATGCGTATGCCAGCCACAGACAAAGGTATTGCTGCTCCCATTTTCCGTACATTTATCTTAGAAATCTAAATTTTCGGTGTTGAAAAGGTCGTGCGATGACTTGACCTCCAAAAGTCCAATTTTGGCAGATGCTTTTCAATTTCGATCAGTCTGCTTCACTTTTTTTCAACGTAACATTTTTGTCGTACAATATTGACGTGTGTCTCTCTCCTGAAACGATCAACCAAGATTTTGATTGATAATTATCATATTCTCGGTTGTTTTGTTGTGCACCGGACAGTGCCATGACGGTTAGCACGTCAACTTCCGACTGCTCATTTAAAAAAAAGAAACATTATAAATCGTATCGTTTTCTCTGACATAATGGCGATTTGTCTTTAAGTCATTGGCAATCCTTCTAATGTAATTTATCGAACGTTTCGTTTACTGGAACTGGGTTTGTTTGCATGATTTTAGTAATCTTGAGTTGACAAGTGGCACATGAGGTCGGTAATATAAATTATGACAATGTACATGTATGTTCACTGTTGTAGTACGATCGTTCTCAGTTTAATTCTTTTTGTAAAATTTCAAATCATATATATTCCCAACACTTTCCATGGTTTTAACTTAACCACTTTGTTATAATATTATTTTGAAAGATTGCATGGTAATAATTATCACTGATGTCTCTTCCTTTGTTCTTTTGTTGTATCTGTATGTGGCTGTTAACGTAAACAGTTTACTGTTAAATAATTGAATGTTCTCAAAATCTTGTGAAAAAGGGATTCCTTTTTTTAATATTTATATAATTAATTTTTTTTAGTGAATTAATCATGAGTATGGAAGATTATGTCAAGATTGAGAAGATTGGAGAAGGTTAGTAGAATTACACATTGGTACTAAAAAAAAATTCCCATGTCACCATCAACTTGTGGTTGTAAATTATTTATTGTTTTAAAAAGTTCTCATAACAAAAATTGATGGCCACTGAATATTTGACAAGAGACTAAGTCATAAACAATATATATCGCAGATATGTATGAGCGAGAAAATCATTAATTCAAAAACAATTACTGAGAATTAATAGCGTAATCACTGCTGCTGATAATATCTATTATAGATCTGTCACCGTAACGCCATAATTTTATGGGGTATTTCATTTCATTCTACCATATTAGAAAATGCAAATTCCAAGTATGGAATGATTATGCACACAAGCGTTCTCTAATAATAAAAACAAACATGGCTGCCACCAGGGTTTGACCGGACTCCACACAAAGAAGTTTGCTGATTCTGTTCTAAACTTGTTGGATTTTGCCATTCCCATTATGTCTCATTTGGAAGAAAAGATGTGTAATAATAAGGTTATTACGAGGTTATTAGACAGTACACTGTCGCATTCAATTCCACTCCGCGTTTGTTGATACTCTCGTTGGACTGTCTTCATGCATATTTTCCGGTATTCTCGTAATAACCTCATATTAACACATATCTCGTAGAAAAGATTAAAATGATTATACAAATCAAAATACTAGTGAAAAGGTGACAATAAAAACAATTTAGGCTGAGAAAAAAATATGTTTCTTGTTTCCGTGCGCATCGTTTTGAACTATGTGCCTCTGACGTTTTTTTCCTTCTAAAGCATTCCAAAATGTGCTTGTACTCGCACTTGTCTCAAATCTCCCCCATTTTAGCTCAGTATTCAAAAAAAAAAAAAAAATCACCTCACTGCCTCATTTTGAAATTTCCATGAAAGGAGAAACAGAGAATTTTTTTTTTCCTGGCCTTATGAGAATGATTGACTACTATATGGTAACTCCAACCCAAATAATATTTTATTATCAGCCTCTGCTACAATTACTCTTAAAAAAATGAAATTGACATAACCAACAAACCTTGAGTATATTGTGCTATTATTACAGCAGGTGATGAAATAAACTGATCTGGAAAAACATCCTTTTTCTTTCAATCTCCCTCTGTATCATTGCAATATCTCTAGAAACGCCCCCAGCGCCAATCCCACTTGTAATTTAAAAATTCAGTTATATTATAAAATGTTCAGCGTATTTTATCTATTACGTGTGCCTGGTCAAAATGAATGATCCAGTATAAAATAATTGTACTTTTTTGGTTTTATAGTGTTTCTCTAAATCTAATTCTTGTGCCCCAATCAAATAATTAATGTTGAAAAATATTTCACTTGTGAACTGAACAATTTTTCAAGATGCTTCTTCAGACTTGCTTATAAAAACTTTCTATAAACACCATCTAAGTCAAACATGTTTCTGTTTGGTGCTGAGACAGTTTTCACTTTACATAACTTTCTTCATCCCTGTACAGGTACATATGGTGTGGTGTACAAGGGTAGAAACAAAAAAACTGGTAAATTAGTCGCCTTGAAAAAAATTCGGTTAGAGAGTGAAGAAGAAGGCGTGCCCAGCACTGCCATCAGGGAAATATCGTTATTAAAAGAACTACAGCATCCAAACATTGTCAGGTGAGTGTACTGCCAGGCACCATCATTATGTCTTTGTGTTCTGGATACATGATAGAAGTCATTGTGTTGGTCACAAGTTTCAATCACTTGTTGATTGTGATTTGGAACTATTAAGCCAGCTTAAAATTAGCTAAATGTTACTGCCTCATTGTTTCCAACACCAAAACAGTAACGCTGCCAGCTATGTTGCTGACTGTTGCTGATCCCTCACTGTGAGTTTGATGCCTCGTGTTGAGTTTGGTTTGAACCAACTTGTTTTAATTGCATATCGAGCTCCGGTTACCAACTTTGCTGGTAATGTTGCTGTTTTTGTGTTCAAAACATTAATATGGTGGTGACAGTAAGTTACGCTGGGCCGCATTGTATCACAATTGGGTAACTGCCAAAAAATCACAAATTCAAAAACTCAGAGCTGAGTGCATATATCTGCTCCTCTATGTTATTAGAAACCATAGCCTAAACATCAACTGCTAATAAATTCTGTATATTGTGAATTATATTACACTCAGTTTAGTTTACAGTAATTTTGTCTAACCAGTTTGCAGGATGTGTTAATGCAAGAAGCCAAATTATACTTAGTTTTTGAATTTCTTACGATGGATTTAAAGAAGTACATGGATAATATACCCTCAGGAAAATTAATGGATACAGGATTAGTGAAGGTTTGTAGAGTAGCATTGAAATACTGTAGAACGTGTTGAAATAGCTACCAATACATGCAATTTTAGCAAATTTGGTCGCGTTCGAATATCTAAGCGTCTGAATGTGCACATAAAATCTACAATCACTTTATCACACTTTTCTAATAATTTATGTAATTTTTGAAATGCGCTCTATCAAATATGTTTACGACAGACTTGTTTGGGTACCGATCAAAAAAATAAAAATATTGTATTATATTTTACTTGATAATTGTAATGCCTAAGCTGTTTTGCCACATTGTTTTCGTAAACATTGACAATGACATGTTTCTTCTTATTTTCAGAGCTATCTTTATCAAATATGTCAGGGCATTGTGTTCTGTCATGCAAGGAGAGTTGTTCACCGAGATATGAAACCACAGAATTTACTTATAGACAGTAAAGGTCTCATCAAATTAGCTGACTTTGGTCTGGCCAGGGCATTTGGAATTCCAGTTAGGGTCTACACGCATGAGGTAAGATTGGCAGGGCTTTGGTTTTAAGTCAGTGTTCACCTAGCCAGGCTAGCAAATTTTAGTTGGTACAGGGTGAATGATAATTTAAAGTCGTCAAATTGAAAGGGAGGATTGCCTTAATTGAAGTAGTGTTTTTGTCGAAAATGTGGTGAAAAAATTGATGGTGTTGGCAATGCATTGACCAACTTTTATTTGTAGGTAATACACAATACATTATATATTGAAGCAAGAGGGTCATCACCTGCGCACACACGGGAATCCCAAGCGACAATAACAACACACACTAAAAATGCTAAGGCTCATGGGTAGAAGTTTGTTTGTAAACAATGACGCGCTATGGCCATCTGACGCATGCGCAGATGACTCCCCCCGCTTTAAGACAGTTTCACAATCAAAGTGTATCTGGAACGTCTTTTAGGCCTAACAAAAAACAATTGAGTGGAAATGCCACTTTTTGACACCAAAATCATGCTTTAATATGCACAGATTTTTTAACATGTTTGAAAATTCCTCTGTCATTTACAAATTACAAGCATTGTTATATCAACTTATTGGAATGAAGGATTCTTGATGTAGGTGTGTTTGATGTTTACAGTAAATTTAATGTCTATTCCAGGTTGTGACGTTGTGGTACAGAGCACCCGAAGTTCTTCTTGGTTCGCCTCGGTACTCCACTCCAGTCGACGTGTGGAGTATTGGTTGTATATTCTCAGAAATGGCAACAAAAAGACCCCTCTTTCATGGTGATTCAGAAATAGATCAATTATTCAGAATATTTAGGTGGGTATAAAGTCCCTTGACACTAGCTTTTTTGCTAAAATCTACAAGCCATTAATAAGTTTGATGTAGATTTCAGTCTATTGCTTTTAATAAATAAAGCCATGTGTACATTGCAGTATTCCCGCAGTACATTGTTTTCTTTGCTGCATACTTTTCATAATTTGGATGCATTTTCTTCAGTTATATTTTCAAGACAAAATCGCCTACACACACACAACTTTATCACTGGCACATTCATCTGCAATTCACATACTAATTATGAACAGGTTTATATAATTATGACTCAAAACTTCACCGATTTGTAATCTTTTTTTTGTTTTTCTAATTTTTCAGAACATTAGGCACGCCCAATGATGAGATATGGCCTGGTGTGAGTTCACTTCCTGATTACAAACCCACCTTTCCAAACTGGAGCCCCGGACAACTGCCAGCTGCAATTAAGAATATAGACGATGATGGTGTGGATCTTTTAAAGGTATGACTGTTCATCCTGTCTCTGATTTAAATAAAATCTGGCATTAGCTTACAATAACTGACTGTACACACATGTGAGCATTTGTTAAATGTCACAATACCATTTATAATATTAATACTTCAGTAAATCTTGACCTTCAGCTTAGGATGCCATCAACTGGAATTTTTATTTTTGCTTGCAAAAATCTTGCAATAAATGGTCACAAAATTCAGTGAAACAGTCATAAAATGTTATCAAATATCACATTTTGAACAGGAGTTTGTGGACGCATACAAAAGAATTGTTCGCCCTCTTTTCAAAAAATACAGTCTGATTGCTGTATTCTCAAGAAGACGGAAATGATGAATTGTGTTTTGGTGTTTTTGTCCGTCTGTCAGTCTGTCCCACAAAACATCAATAATTACCAGTGGTTAGCCTGTTCACCTCGCATCAGGGAGGTAATGGGTTTGGTTCCAGAAGCAGACGATCCACTCAGTCGCATTATGTACAGTCTGATCTACCTTCCAAAAACCTGCGATTAATAATGGCAGACTGGTTTGCACACAGTGCTCTTGCAATTAGATTAGATTTTATTGTGCGTCTTCAACAATTTCTTAGACATGAAATGGCACCTATTCTTAGGATCAAAATTGCCTTAGTGTTTAGAAAAGGTCTCCAAGGTATTCGACTTTAATGACACTGTAACCTTGCAGATTTGGTTCAAAGCAATTTTAAGTCTTCAAATTCAACCGAATACAACAGGGATGATGTCATTGAACTCTTTTTGATAGCAACTTGTATGTTTTCCTAATTTACTTATTTTTTACCATAGAAAATGCTCGTCTATGACCCAGCCTACCGCATATCTGCCAAGACAGCACTCAACCATCCATACTTTGAAGACCTTGACAAAAGTGCTCTGCCAGCCTCAAATATTTAATGAGTCTCTTCAACAGTAGAAAGAAACCAGTAAATAGACTCGCATCCTAATGTTACGAAACATTCTGTATTACTTACTGAATTTTTAAGCCACATAACATATGGCATGTCTCCTGTAAGCAACAACATTGTTGTAAAAAATCTTTTGAAGTGGTTATATTTATTATTGCTTTTTCACAATCCTGCAGTGTAAAGAATCTGCCCATTCCTGTGAATAGGTTTAATCAGGGGTGAAAATAGGTGCTGGAGCTTGTGGAAAATTAATGTAACAGAGTAAAGTTACATTTCCTGTTTTTTTGTGTGTGAAATTTTTGTATTAGTTTATGTTTCTTTCAAATATCTATCGTCTTACAACATATGTTATATTCTTTCTAGTATTTTTCATTTAGAGGTAGTTTATGTATATTCTTATTTTTGTTGCCTAATAATGTGCTTCAATTAATTCTTACAATTAAATGTAAAACTTGATTTTAATGGATACTGGGAGTCTTGTATTGATATGTACTGTATCGGTATACTGCTAGTTCTTTTTCCGGCACCTAATTTACTGGTGTATGTTGCAGTGAAACAGAATTTGATAGTTTAACAGCAGAAAAATGCCTTGATATAACTTTTAAAGCTAGAACTGTAATAGTTCAAAGGCTTATTCAGCTCATTTTAAAAACTTGCAAATAGCTGAGAATTAGTTTATCAAAATAATTCAATGATGTAAATTTATAAAATTATATATTTGTATTAAATTTATGTTTCAGGTGATCTACTTGTCATTACTTAAAGTAGAATATTTCCTTGTATTTTTCAATCATTTTTTTTTTATGATAAATCAGACCAGACAAAATGTATGAAAAACAGATTTTTTCACTGATTAATTTCTCCAGTTGAACAGTAACCATATTTTGTTTGGTCCCTGGGCCTATTCCTTCACAATTGGGTGATTACAGCTCAAATTTAGACACAAACTTATCGTGTCTGTTATTGATATGCAATGATTAGTTGTGATAACATTTGAAAAGCTGAAAATGATTAAGTGTGCATATTTGTCCCATCAAATTTAAGATGTATAGTTTTGTACATGTCAGATATGAATCCAGAAGCTAATGCTTATGATTTTTTAACATTAAATTGATTGACCTCTTGTATCTGTCCATATTGAGAAGAGCATTAATTAAAACGAAATGGCCACTGCCCCATCATTTTGAATTGGGTCAAACCAGTGTTGTATAATAAAGAGGAGCATGTCTGAGATATGGCTCTATAACCGCATTAATTGAAACTAAATGGCAGTCGGTCATTTTGAATCTGATCTAAAAAAACAAAATGACGTGCATAAATGTCCAATGTACTGGGTTTGAACAAAATCCATCTGAACAGCAGAAATGTTTGATTTTTCAACACAAAAATGGCCACCATTGTCCATCCTGATGTGCACATGTACTGTAAAAGGGTTAATTATTTGCTGGAATATGTAAAATTTAGCATAGAACACATCTAAATGATAAAGACGTGAATTTAAAACCCAGTGAAAAATACACACGAGGTCAATCTAGAAGTCGCGGTTTTTAGACTGTCTGAACAGGGACTAATAATGTTGATTAATGTTCTAAATCACAGTAGGTTATACAATTGTTATGGCAATTGTTAACTTGTTGAAAATATAACCATTAAATAAAGCAATTGAGCTGGTAATTTTCATGTCAAAGACGTCAACTCAATACATGTGCACTATAATAATTATGAGCCCTGGTGACTAAAATCATTTAGGCATTTTAGTTTTTTTTATAATAGAACAATCTTCTAGTATACACAAATTTTGTGAAATTGTATTGAACATTAAGTTACATTTTTAGTACTTCTAGAACGAGCTGGAATTAAAATTACCAGCCAATGTCACCTCACTGCTGAACGAGATGTCATTTTTTCAAGTTGAGATATGCTAATATCCTTCAATCAATTGACTACTTCACCCTTTGACAAAGTTGTGGCAAAAAATTATTTGTGGATTCTCTGTGTATTAATCACACTGACTTGGAGAGATTTGAATGGAGGTCATGAGAAACCAAGACAAATCACCAACATGTAGACAAACTGAAAATTAGACCATGGATATTTTCTGTAGTTTGTACAAATTCATCCTTCCCATTCCCATGGTCCCAATGTATATAGGAGTAATCTCAGAGTAAAACCTAACTAAACATTGAGATGCAATGATGGTAATATGAGATATTGTACTTTATTTGAAGAATGTACACAAATATAAAAAAAAAAAAAAATTCTGTAAATATAAACAGCTAAAATAGCATAGTATGGATAGATTCTCACACCATACAGTAAATAACTGCAATTAGTTCAATTAATATAGCAATACACTGATCCAGTTAAGGTAACTTTTTCATTTTATATACGGTAATTTCTTTTTAAAACAAGTTTGTAGAATTTCTCGCGTTGATGCAAAATTTCCATGACTGAGATGATAATGAGTATCATAAATTATAAGCTGCCAACCAATAAGAAAGGCCGTATTTGATCTGAGCTATTCTACACAACTATAGCATGTCTTTGGATCCTTTGATTGGGCAAACACACTTCTTTCCTCTTGGAAGTGTTCCACTCCTGGGTTCCATAACCTCACTGCATATCATGAATAATTAATAGCAATGAATATGCCTTAGAATAGACCAGTCGTAATTTTGCATCATACCGAAATAATAAAAAAAAAAAAAAGTATTATAAAATTGCCAAAACTGGGCCAGTCTAACACAGCACCAACATGAAACGAATTACTGGTTGATCTACTTGAAAGGTATATGTACAAGGCAGCACTGGAACAGTGAATAGAATTCCTGGTTAATCTTCCTGAAAGCGTATATGTGAGGCAGTACCAGTACGTAGTGAAGTTGAAAGTCTACTAGCTTTAGCAAGTACCTGCAACAACAATGATAGAAAGAAAGTTATAAGTACCAGTATCTTAAAATGTGCAACAAAATTAACATGAAAAAAAACACAAGTACCACGATATTTGATGGCGACGTTGAAATCTGAAATCAAACACAATTTAGTATGTTCAAGTTATCCAGATTTGTTGAAGCAGTCCCACAAACCTGCATGTGATTGTGTTGAACTCAGTTAAATTTGATTGTGCACACCAAGAATCTGATTCCCATCAATCAGTGTTCCTCTAACAACTTGGATCAATTTAAAATTTAAACTAACAGACTTTGTTGTGTTATATCACGTCAGGGCATAACTGATAAAACCATGCGACAGACGCAGAGTACATGCCATTTGACATTCATTGACAGTGAATACAGTTTTAATTCAGGAAATTCTGCCAAGATATAAAATGATGAGATAACAGATGAATTAATGAACTTTGGCTAAGATGGTGTTTAAAATACTCCTCATAGGACATATATTGCCAGTACAAGGGCATAAGAATATTAAAATAAACCAATGGTACCAGGTGAGTGACCAACCAAAACAAAAATGGCACGACTACGACACACAAACTTTATCACCCAGATATTAGCATTTAACATTTTCACCACCAGACATTGTCGCTCAAATTATTATCACTTTTTTCATATATTCTTCAATATTTCTGGATATGAACCCTAATTTTAGAGCAAACAGACAAAATTGGAGTAAATTTTCTGTTCTGTCTCAAAAAATTTGGGCTATTTTTGTCCGAATCTTCTGAAGGAAAGTGCAGATTATGAATGGGACTATTTTGTGAAGTGTAATAATGAAAAGATGGAACTGGTGATGAAAAGGTTAATGCGAGAAGGCCAAATAGACAAAATTACCTGCAGAGTAAATTTCAAACATTTCACAATGAATATCATGAAAAAAGGCAGTGTAGTGTCTACATCTGAGCCTAGGTGTGCATAGTTTTCATGTGTAGTTGATATTGCAATATGTTTACAGAGGGTGTATCTGATCCGATTTAGCATGATGCATGAATAGAATTTGGGCTGTGTTGAGTTAATGTGTGTTGAGTTAACGTGTGTTGAGTTAACGTGTGTTGAGTTAACATGTGTTGAGTTAACGTGTGTTGAGTTAACGTGTGTTGAGTTAACGTTTGTTGAGTTAACGTGTGTTGAGTTAACGTGTGTTGAGTTAACGTTCACTGACTGGCATACCTTAAATGCATTGTTATTGCATATATAACAGATATACATTATGGTGAGGACCAAGTGTGATGGTTGATGCATATGAGATATATAAAGCCCGAGTATTGGAGAATATTAAGAAAAACAAAACCCTACTGAACATTACTTTTTTGCACCATACTATATTATGAAGTTATAACGAGGATACTGCAAAGTATGCAGAAAGAGTATTGGCTGACACGCAAAGGAGATTGATGCAACCCCATACTGTCTGAGTGCATACTTTGCAGTATCCTCATAATAACCTTATTATTATTATACATCTTTTCCTTCTAGGAATACATCATGACAATGTTGAAATCCAAAATGTTTAGAAAACTTCTTTGTGTAGGGTTCGGTCAAACTCTGGAGGGAGCCATGTTTTTTTTATTATTATTATTATTATAATTATTATTAGAGAACGCTTGCACGCGTACCGCTAATCGTTCCATATTTGGAATTTGTGTTTCCTAATATGGTAGGATGAAAATATCCAGTGCAATACTGCAAAATTAAGGCACGCTGTAACCTATGGCGTTAGAGTGACAGATGTATAATAATATTCTATATTTGCAAGATAGCATGTCACAATGACTCAGAATGAATGCATAGTTCTATCCAATCAAGTATCTCAAAATATATTGATGTTGACATATTGACATGTAAGTTTCTCTGCAGAAGTAGATCATTTGCAAGAACACAAGAGTTTAAAAATTTTAAATTCGAAAAAACATTTTTAATATGCAGACTAACTTCTTTCAAAGGCATACCCCTTTTCCAATCTATTCTTCGCAGAAAAGACGCCTATAAACAAAATTGGAACTGTGTAGTTTAGACAAATCTCCAATGTGAATAGTCTAGTTGTAACACTCACCTTCTCAATTCCTTTCTTTTTACATCTTTTCTTTTTACTACCGCCAGAACTCAGTTTGGTATTTCTATCTAAGTTTATCTTCTCCCAGTATTTTTTTTCATCATCACCTTGAAACAAAACAAGAACCATTGATCAAATTTTCAAAATATGACATTGTTATTGTCGTATATGAACCATTTATATTCATTTTGTTTTGTTTTCCTGTGCAGGAATTACGTCTCTTATCAATGGAGAACACCTCATCCTTTTGAAATGACTGGAGAGTAAAAAGCACTGAAAAGTGTTATGGGATTGATTTTAATGTGTAGAAAAAACATTCTGCACAAGTAAAATAAAAAACATGATTTTTTAGCTAATTTTTTTGGAGAGAGGAGGGGGGTTATAATTGTGTTTACCTTTAAGTAGAGTTGTATAAAGTTTGGCTTCTTTTCCAGCTGGGGAAAACTGTTCAACAACTAGTTTAGCGCCCTCTTGAGTTTGAAACCTCACAAATCCAGTTGTGTCTTCATCTTTGAAGTCAATGTATGCCACTGGTGATATAGCAGCGAATAGCTCCTTCAGAAACAAACAAACAATTATATTATACCAATGCTATGAATACATTGTGATTGGATGATAAATGGGTTTTGGTTTTTTGAGGGTATGCCCCAGAATATGAATATCAAATATAGATACTAAACCAGCGTCTTTTGGAAATTAGCTTTAATTGTGTTTTATGCTGGGGAAATTAACTGAAATGACAAACATTATGATATCTAGACAGGAAAGGAAAAAGAAATAAAATTTGAAAACAAAATGTAATTCCCATAATGTCAAGATAGGATTTATCACTTTATTTCAATTGGCAAAATGCTGATTCCAGGGCTCATTATTTTTTGCTCCAAGCACATTCACGACGCGTCATTGCAAGTTTAATTTTGTTTTTCCTGACATTTGACCATTTTTGTGTTGTTTTCATAGCAAGAATGCTGAAATAAGATAACAGCAATAATCCCTCTCCCAACAATATGGTGCCTTATGCAGTCTTCTAAGCTCAGTAAACATGATGATGTATAGTCATACAAATGAATAAAATATTAACATGTAAAATCAGTCTTTTTTAGCTCTACTGAGGTAGATAAATACTTTAGCCTGAAAAATTAGTTGTGGTTATATTTTGACGATTTCAGCCATACTTACATTGACTATTTTTCCAAACAAGAAAATCATTGCAGCACCCTTCATCATCAAACAATTGAGATAACCACCAAAATGCAACTGTTTTAATAAAAAGTGCAACACATCTAAATAGAACACCTAACAATATTCCTCTGAACATCAGACAATACTCATTTGAACACCTGATATCCTTTGAACACCCAAAAATAATTATCTGAACACCAGACAATATTCCTTTGAACACCTGGACAATATTCATTTAATTACCTGACAATATTCATTTGAAGACCTGATATTTATTTGAACACCTGATATCCTTTGAACACCCGAAAATAATTATCTGAACACCAGACAATATTCCTCCGAACACCTGACAATATTCATTTAAATACCAGACAATATTCATTTGAACACCTGGAGAATATTCATTTAATGACCTGACAATATTCATTTGAACACCTGATAATATTCATTTGAACATCTGATATCCTTTCAACACCTGATAATAATTATCTGAACACCAGACAATATTCCTTTGAACACCTGACAATATTCCTTTGAACACCTTACAATATTCCTTTGAACACCTTACAATATTCCTTTGAACACCTTACAATATTCATCTGAACACCTGACAATATTCATCTGAACACCTGACAATATTCATTTAAACACCTGACAATATTCATTTAAACACCTGACAATATTCATTTAAACACCTGACAATATTCATTTCAACACCTGAAAATATTCATTTCAACACCTGAAAATATTCATTTCAACACCTGAACAATAGTTCATTTCAACACCTGACAATGTTCATTTCAACACCTGACAATGTTCATTTCAACACCTGACAATGTTCATTTCAACACCTGACAATGTTCATTTCAACACCTGACAATATTCATTTTAACATCTTACAATATTCATTTGAACACCTGACAATATTCATTTTAACATCTTACAGTGTTCATTTGAACACCTGACAATCATCTGAACACCTTACAATATTCATTTGAACACCTGACAATATTCATTTCAACACCTGATAATATTCATTTGAACACCTTACAATATTCATTTAAACACCTTACAATATTCATTTAAACACCTTACAATATTCATTTAAACACCTTACAATATTCATTTAAACACCTTACAATATTCATTTGAACACCTGACAATATTCATTTGAACACCTGACAATATTCATTTGAACACCTTACAATATTCATCTGAACACCTGACAATATTCATCTGAACACCTGACAATATTCATCTGAACACCTGACAATATTCATCTGAACACCTGACAATATTCATCTTAACACCTGACAATATTCATTTGAACACCTTACAATATTCATCTGAACACCTGACAATATTCATCTGAACACCTGACAATATTCATCTGAACACCTGACAATATTCATCTGAACACCTGACAATATTCATTTGAACACCTGACAATATTCATTTGAACACCTGACAATATTCATTTAAACACCTTACAATATTTATTTGAACACCTTACAATATTCATTTGAACACATGACAATATTCATTTCAACACCTGACAATATTCATTTAAACACCTTACAATATTTATTTGAACACCTTACAATATTCATTTAAACACATGACAATATTCATTTCAACACCTGACAATATTCATTTGAACACCTGACAATATTCATTTGAACACCTGACAATATTCATCTGAACACCTGACAATATTCATTTGAACACCTGACAATATTCATTTGAACACCTGACAATATTCATTTGAACACCTGACAATCATCTGAACACCTGACAATATTCTTCTGAACACAACTTACCCTAAGTACTTTCTTTGATGATATCGGCTTACTGCTCTTAACTTTCACAACAACTCCTTCAGTGAAAGGCATTTCTGTTATTTTCTCTTGGTTCTCCTGATCAATTGGAATGCGTTTCTTTTCATACTGCTTGCCTCTCAAAGCTGCCATGTCCTTCTTTAACTGTGACATGTTAGCTTTCTGCAGCTGCAGGTATTCATTTCTCAGCTCAAGCCATTCTTTCCTATAATGAAATGCATTACTGAAACATCAAGATCAAACTCAGGGTTAGGGCAAATAAAACAGTTTCCAGGAAAGGTTTAAAAACGATACTGGATAGGAAGGCAGGAATTTTAATTTTCTTATTTTCCAAGTGATTTTTTTTATCCAACATAAGGTAGTATGCATAGAAGGTATTAATATACATCTGTCACCGTAACGCCATACAGCGTGCCGTAATTTTGCGGTATTTTACGGGGTATTTTCAGACTACCATATTTGGTCATGCGAATTCCAAATATGGAATGATTACGCACGTAAGCATCCGCTAATAATAAAAACCTGGCTGCCACCAGGATTTGACCGGACTCCATACAAAGAAGTTCGCTGATTCTGTTCTAAACTTTTTGGATTTCGGCATTTCCATGATGTATCCTTGAAGGGAAAAGATGTATAATAATAAGGTTATTACGAAGATACCTCAAAGTATGGACTCAGACAGTATGCTGTCACATCGACCTTCGCTGCGCGTCGGTCGATACTGCCACTGTACTATCTTTGTGCATACTTTGAGGTATCTCGTAATAACCTTATAGTATGCATAGAAATAAATAATTCAAGCAAATATCCCTACCCCGGTACCGGTAATATAAATAACCCCCGTCCCCCACTCAACACACACAAAACAACTACGTAGGGTTACCAGAAACACTGAACTAATTTCATTTGGCCTTACCAAGTCACACAACTGAAAGTGCAATTGCTTCTTGACAGAGAACATTTTGAAATTATTTGGGGGGGGGGGGGTGAATGCGAGAAGAATAAACAAGTGAATTTCTGGAAAGGAAAGCCTGCATGTACATTCTGGTCTAGTGCTGAACCAGAATGGAGAGCCTAACTGTTGTGATTAACTAGGGTGTATTGCCTATTAAATACAGTGTTATGGTGCAGCACTGACACAGAATGGAAAACCTATATTAATTAAGGGATCCGGCATACATTTCAATCCAGTGTTAGTAAAATCATATTAGATCAACACATATACAGCCTTACTCACTTAGGAATGACTCGCATTTGAGGAATCTTTGGTGTGATTTTCGACTTTTCCTTTACTCGATCCGCTTTCTTCTTCTTTAATTTGTTTCGTTTGCGTTTCTTTTTTACCTCCACAACTTGAGATTGCAGTTTTCTTTTCTTTTTATAATTATCATCATCATCTTTGAGTTTCCTTTTTATGCCTTGTGACTTTCCTTCTTGGTGTTTTTGTTTGCTCAAATCATCAGGATTATCATCACTTTCACTCTCATCTGAATTTTGAGTTTTAAGTTTGTGTTGTTTTTTTGAAATACCAGTGTTATCTTTTGTCAATCTTTCTCTTTTTTGTTCATCACTTTTCTTGCTCTCCCTAAGTTTATCTTTATTTTTGTCATGACTATCCTCCACTATTCCATGTCCATCCTTGTCTTTCTTGCCACTGTCTTCATTATTATCACTTTGGTTTCTTGACAACTTTTCCTCATCTTTTATACATGTATCCCTGTCTGTTTTGTGTCTATCTGTTTCTTTGGAAGGTTTATCCTCCTTTCTACGTTTATTGCCATCTTTTCCATCACTTTTTATCTGTGAATCATCTTTATTAGTATCTTTCTCATATCTATCCTTGTCTTTCCTATCTTCATCCTTTCGATGTTTATTCTTGTCTTTTCCATGTTTATCTGTGTCCTTTCTATTCCCAGGTTTCTCTTTCACTTGTCTATCATTATCTTTCACAAAATCTAATTTTCTATGTTCTCATTTGTTTTCTCTGACGGTCCTTGAACTGCTTCACTTTCTTTTTTTCTCTTTTTAGCGTCACTCTCATCACTACTTGAATTGTCATTACTCCTCTTTCTTCTCTTCTTTACTCTGCTATCGTCTTCAATTTCCTTTTGTATGTCACCATGCTGATGAGGATGCTTATCACCAGTGATACCAGGGATGAATTTTCGGGCTACAGTTTTAGGGAATCTTCCAGGGCGGTCAGCTACGTCATCCGGTGGATTGTTAAGTTTCTGTAAAAAAAAGAAAATGTGACATTCCTAACCAAGAGATACATAACTGACTCTTCAATTTCATATCAATTAATAAGATTTCAAAGCAGTTAAAGAAAAGGTCAAAGGTCAATCATGTCAATATTGTTTGGCCACATAGTAGCAGTTACGTACACTTTTTCAAATAATGAAAAAAAAATGAGAAAAAATTAAGAGAGTTAAGATCCCATATACTACCTGATATAGTCGCCGCCATTTTGATGGCAGATGTATTCAATAACTGACTATGATCGACCTTCAAATGAACATAGCCTAAAACGTCATTAAAGTACCTGGATGTTGTTTGTTAATATGTTGTTCGTTTTTTCTTATCTCCATGAACAGTCTCCATGGGCAGATTCAAGACATGTTTAAAAGTCAACCACAGCCACAAGAATATGGAGAAAAAATTAACATGGATATAATGCTCTTGGAAATGGTCAGGGATATTTTTAAACAAGGTAACAGGGGCCCAGCGCCCTCATGCCATGGCCATGCCCCTCTTACCCTGGGGAGCAGATCCTCTGGCAACCATAAAATTCAGATTGGCCAGGGATCACATGTGGCCACAGTCTTCAACTGTGACCCGTGATAGTAATTTTGGCCCCAAGGAAGCCATATAATGCTCCATTTTAACTTAGAATTATCAACAAGCAGCCTGTCGGCTGAGATAGCTCCGCTGTTAGCAATGCACATGGCAATTAAAGAACAGAAGATATCATTAGAAAATGAACAAATCTGAGAGAGGTCCACATGTAGTACCTATATGTATAATATATCAAAGCAATTGGACTTGCGGTTTTCAACAAGAAGTCGAAAATATCACTTTTTACCAAAAATTACAAAAATATTCATCAAAATTAGAGAATTAAAGATATCATCATGAAATGAACAAATCCGAGAGAGGTCCACATGTAGTACCTATATATGTAATATCAAAGCAATTGGACTTGCGGTTTTCAACAAGAAGTCGAAAATATCACTTTTTACCAAAAATGACAAAAATATTCACCAAAATTAGAGAATTAAAGATATCATTACAAAATGAACAAATCTGAGAGAGGTCCACATGTAGTACCTATATATGTAATATCAAAGCAATTGGACTTGCAGTTTTCAACAAGAGGTCGAAAATATCACTTTTTACCAAAAATTTTCACCAAAATTAGAGAATTGAAGATATCATTACAAAATGAACAAATCTGAGAGAGGTCGACATGTAGTACCTATATATGTAAATATCAAAGCAATTGGACTTGCGGTTTTCAACAAGAAGTCGAAAAAATCACTTTTTACCAAAAATGACAAAAATATTCACCAAAATTAGAGAATTAAAGATATCATTACAAAATGAACAAATCTGAGAGAGGTTCACATGTAGTACCTATATATGTAATATCAAAGCAATTGCACTTGCGGTTTTCAACAAGAAGTCAAAAATATCACTTTTTACTAAAAATGACAAAAATATTCACCAAAATTAGAGAATTGAAGATATCATCATGAAATGAACAAATCTGAGAGAGGTCTACCCAAGTATCAAAGCATTCAGGCTTGTAGTTTTCAAGAAGAAGTCGAAAAAGTAAAACATTGACACGGACGACGACGACGGACAATCACTCATATGATAAGCTCCGCTCGACAAAGTCGACAGCGGAGCTAAAAACTCCACACCCTGGTGGAGAGAACCCTATCTCCACCACTTGGTAGCGCCGCTGAATTGCAGCACTCCCTCTTGCAGTTTGTTTCTAGAAAAACCCCTGGTTATATTAAAATCAGTACAGCCCAAAATTTTTGCCACCTTGACCTACACTTTAATGCCTTACTAAGCACAAGAGAATTGACAATTTAACACAGAGTGACCCACTTTCCTTAGGACCATGTTCACCGCGACTCCCTTTCTTAAGACCATGTTTACTTTGACAATGGTTTACATAAAAAGTTAGCACAAAGTCTTAGCATCATTGGTATATATATAGTATATTCAAATGTCAATTCCCATGATGCATTGGGACAATCCACAGGATTGTGCAGCCCTGTTTTAATCACTGTTTTCCTTACCTTACATGCCAGCTGTGCCTCTTGTGGAGTAGAGAACTCAATAAATGCAAACCCTTTTATGTCACCAGTGGTTTTATAGCGAGGGATACTAACATATGTAACCGTTCCATAAGCATCAAACACGGTCTTCAACCATTCATGACTGGTGTTAGAAGGAAGACATTCCTGTGCAAGAAGCAAATTAATTTTTAATAACTTGGAATTAAAACAGGAAATGTAATTTTCAAGATCCCACTATGAGTATCATTAGATTTACTGGTAATAAATTATAACTTAACATCGAAAGCAGTAATACATCCTTAGGATTTGATTATTGTTTATTATAATGTGTCTCGTGAATGCACAATATGCAGCTACAATTTTGTAAAATTGTTTCCTCAAACCCAACTTGTTCATTAGTATCGTTAAATCTCTATTAGAAGCTGCATCCCTAATAGATGTCGCACCCATTTTTCGTGAACAATTAAGAACCAAAAATTCATCATTTTTCATATGTGTAGATGCTCTAATAAAAAACGCATCCCCTCCTGTTGCATTGTACCATTTTAATAGAAGCCGCAGTTTATAATACAGATTTTACAGTACATGCATTATAGATAGGTTTGACTTGATATACTTACCGCATAAACTGTTAAATCATCTATGTTATATTTTGGTGCTGACAAAGGTTTCTTTCGTCCAATTTTATTGCCTTCCAAATTGACCTAGAATATTTAGAATAATAGATGTGCATGTCAATCTAGAATATGGAATTCCAGCAGCAAATTTATATTTTACTTTTTGAGTAAAAATGTACTATATTAATTTTGTGGCTACTGGTATTAACAATTATTATAATATATGTAGCACCAAAAACAATAGAATTTACCGTTCAGTAAATAGCTGAATGAGCATTTCCTCCAAAATGTATTTGCAGGCATTTGAATGAAATGCTGAATTGTTCCGAGTTACAGACATTGAATTATGAAAACGTTGAGTTACAAAAATGACTACACCACATATTAGAAAACGCCCACTATTGCGAAACCAGGCCCAAATTGTAATAATGTGGATGTTCAACAACAAAAAAGTGTACCCCCAGTATGTTGTCCATAACTCAAAGTTCTTTTAACTGTCAATTGAACATTGAGTTACAATTTAGGTGTGGTTTCGCAAAAGTTGGCGTGGTTTCTAAAAGATTTTTTGTAACTTGATGTTAATTTGATTCATAACCTGACGTTCGTAACTCGAACAATTCAGGATCTCCATTGAACGTTTGAATCTTTGGTTTTTTTTGGCGTAAACAACAAGACCAACATTAAAACGTTCAAGATTATTATAATAATATTATATTATATTAGAAATACAGTAACCATACTACCTTAAAGCATACTATGTGGTATTTTCATGATAGCCTTTATAAGACAATATTATATCATAAAAAATAAAGTGATTATGCGTCTACATACTTTTAGTAGCGTTGAGTCAATGGCAGCTCTGACAATTAATTTGCTGTCTTCACTTAGTGACTTCAATTTATTGAAGAGCAAAAGTACATCTACATCAACAAAGCCTTCTTCATTGCTGTCCATGTGCTGCTTCAGAAATCTATCTTTGCGTAGATTTGCATCACTGAAGTAAAATTCCAGCTGGTTCTTGATTTGTGAAATGAGGTTTTTTACTCGCCTCCTCTTTGGTTTATTAGGATGGACATCATCCTCCTCATATTTCTTTTTCATGGTTTCCATTCTATTCTGTATATAAATAAGTGATATTTGATTAGTTCCCTTGCTCCTTTGAGTTTTTAGTACACAGCCTCCACAGAAAGACATATGACTAGCCATGGTAAATATTTTGCTCAAGCATCTTGATTTGTTTAGGGGTAAAATTTTTAATCACATTTAGGGGTACAAATTGTGGGGCTAAAATATCTACATATAGTTTTTTGAAGGAATATAAAATACTACTAAATATTCTTCAAACTGGTATTTTTTATAGATTTTATTTTTCATTCTGTTCGTCTGTTTTTCCAGTTTAAAAAATGTTAGCTGGCTAGAGCCTTCATCCTTTGTCTATTTGTTACCAGCCGATACCTCTCCCCCGCTCATAGGTAGTGCGTACAGTTGATCATAGTTCCTGGGCTCCCTGTGATATAACATTATCATTAGCCTATCATCAACCAATCAGTCAGTGTCAACATGGAGGTAAAAAGAGAAGTAGTCACAGCCAAGCTTAGAATCAAAAGTACCAGGATGGTCGTCGCTGTTTGTACATAGAACAGGGAGTTTATTTGCCGAACGGACCAAGGAGGACAGTTTCTGCTTAGTGCAGTGAGGATTATGATGCATTAGCATACTACGGACGCCTTCGATAGCATTCAGTGATTTTCATGACAATTCTAGTCAAATTCTTATAAACAAATATGGCGACGATCGTTAACGCGCACGAGTTTGACTACGATGCTGAAACTGCTATATGCTTCAATTCAGAAGACGTAAACAAAATCGAAGAGCATATTACAGATGAAGAATTGTTTTGCATATGCTGTAAACAAAAAGATTGCTCGAAAAAAAAAATGCAGCGAATTTTTACCTCCATGCACTGCCATAGGAAGTAGGACATACACGGGATTATAAACTTCAAAAAGTGTCATTTCGAACCTCAAAATTCAGTCTCTGGTACAACGCGGTGCGGTATATGTCATGCACCATTGCAAACGGGCTTTATTTTGGACTAAAAAACAGTACTAGCAAGGTTTCGAAACATTACCATATTGCCGATTCAATAATACAACGGAAAATTTTCTGAAAAACGAAAAATTACATAAACTTAACAAGAAATTCTCTAATTTTCAATATTCCAACGTTCCCGTTCTCACAAACACGATTCCTCTACGTATAAAATATCTGTGCATGCTTTATGTCCTTTAAGATTCACTGTGACACCGTAAAACAAGACCTTGGAATGTGTACTGTATGCAACAACGCTTGAGAATAAATGACGCGTCGGCGACGATTCTGGGGTAAAAGGACGATAAGACAAAGGAAATTATAGGATTAAACTTGACTAAAACAAAAGAAGTTTAGCCGTGACTCCTTCTCTTTTTACCTCCATGGTGTCAATGACACAACTTTGAGTACATGTTTGTTGTTCCGGTCGCTACGACACCATACACATAGCCCTGTGTTTATGCATGTTGTTCCGGCCGCTATGCAACACTACGTACCGCGTAGTAACTGCCGCAACAACAAGCATGTACACAGGACTGCAGCAGACTGTGTCACTAATTCACGTTGCCGTTAGTTAATAATTTCTTACGCAACAAGCAAACTCAATAACAATTGACGTCGCGTTAGCCCCGATAACAGAAGGGTAAGGTGGGCATATTTTCTTACCAGCTGAGCATTATTGCCTATTATACTCACGTTTTGTAATCTAGTTTCTAGTAGCTTCAGTAAGAAAACAACAAACAACTCAGAAAGTCTTCGCACACGTTTCACACTTTTATGAACGGCGCCATATTATAAACTGACGCGTTGACTAAATTTCAATCGATGTTTCTTAAAAGTATTGTGATTGGCCAATATCTAATTTCTGGTCGAAATTTAACCAATCATTGTAATTTTTGTATTTCTAAAAAGGTCACTGCGCAGGTTCATCAGGTCGCGTTGTTGTATTTGGCGTGTCAGATTTCTGTCCCATTGTCTGACTGATTTGTTACATAACGGTTGAATACCAGATCGTATGTGTATACAACACAACAACAAGGCAGTGAACTATGGCTACTGCACCGGGAATCGGGATGATGGCAAATCTTATGGAAGCGGTACAAAATTTCGGTGTATCTGATTGTGCTCGGATCATTCAACTACACCCAGAAACTGTTAATTTAATTGGTAAGAATAATTGTTGTAATTACCTAAATTTGCGGTTCATTGTTGACATCTGACCTTTGTTGTGTATCAATGTTGAAACCACATCTAATTGGATTCAGATGTTGAGTGCCGTTTACCAACGGTTTATAGTCATCTTGTTTTAAGGGATTGACCATTGAAAATCGTGAGGGGTGACGGAAGATTTGTTCAAAAAATTTGCAAGGTAGATACCAAAAATAAAGTTGCATGTAACGTGTTGCAAGAAATATAAAAATGTGCCGATAAGACCCCCCATGTTTTCAAATGTTTAACCCCTTACATGTAAATCAATTCTATCATAGAACTACAAAGCACGTACTTCCATGCTGGTATTAACAATATATCCCATCTTATATGTTTACATTTGAAATTAAATTGTACCCTTGTGATCAAATAATAATTCATTGTGTGTAGAATTTAAAAAAAATCACCATTTTAATATTTCACACTTTTTCTGCACTTGAAATCTGATTGAAAACAATATTTGATGAGAAACTTCACCCATAAAACTAACTATCCACACTATACATGCACCATCTGCATCTAATTAGGATATGATTAATTACCCATAATCAATTTACTCATATAATACAATTCTAGTTTGGGCTTTATTGTTTTTGTTTTTTCTCAATTTTTTTGTTTTGAAATATGAACAGTAGGTATTAAATTATTATTTCCCATACCATACTTACATAATTTTATTTGGAATAATTATTTATTTGCTGGCAATTTTTTTAGGGACGACGTCAAAAGATCGATGTCGGATAACAAACTTATTTCCTTTAGTTTGGGAGTGGGGGTTTTGACCTCAAAAAGTTTCCATCCTACAAAAACGATTTTATTTTTTAATGAAGTCAAAAAAAATCTTGGAGTATTTGTAGTTCGTTTTTTTTCTATCCAATCATGGACAGAAATAACCGAAAAGGGAAAAAAACAGAAAAATGGTTTGGTCCGAGTGTAAATCTGCGTCAAATGAGGTGCATTTGTAAAATCTTTTTACACCCACCCGACAACCAACTGCTATGCAATACTACTGTCCGATTATCAATTTGTATTTAATGGTGAATGTAGTCTGACGCCATGACCGATAATTATCAATTAAGTTTCAGTGGGGGGTAGGGGGTTTGGAAAAAAACTAAAGGAATTAAGTTTTTTATCCGACATCGATCTTTTGACGTCGTCCCTTAGGTGGCTAGTAATCGTTAAAGCCCACAAAGTAAATAAAGACACAAGATGAATGAAAACATCTATTTTTTTAATATTGTTGTTTGATACTCAATAATGTTGACCAAATCAAACTATGATTTATACAATCTCACAACAGTATTCATTGGATGAAAAATTAAAACCAATAATACATATGTGCGGTGATTGTTATTGTACATGTATGTATCAAAACATTATTTACCAAAAACTAATTGGGTCTTTGCATAGTCCTTGGTTCATTGAAATGTGATGATGAATACTCTATGAAAGTTTCAATAAAATCCAAATAGTGTTTTTTTATATATCAGTGGAACATTCATGGAAAAATTAACTAATTATGCGAATTAGGTAATTAATATCCACAATTATTTACCCTAAAACTAATCAGGTCTGTGCATAGTCCAAGAGAATCTATGTAGCAAGTCTCATTGAAATATGATGATCAGTATTTGAGTTATCAGGCGAAAAGCTGAAAATTAACTAATTATGCTAATAAGGTAATTAATATGCACAAATATTTACCCCAAAACTAATCAGGTCTCTGCACAGTCTTTAAATAACTATGTACCAAGTTTCATTGAAATGTGATGATTACTACTTGAAATATCAAAAGCTGAAAATTAATTAATTATGCAAATTAGGTAATTAATATGTACTGATATTACCCTAAAAACCATCAGGTCTGTGCAGTGTCCTATGATATCTATGTACCAAGTTTTATTGAAATGTGATGATTAGTACTTGAGATATCAGGGAAAAGCCAAAAATTAATTAATCATTATGCAAATTAGGCAATTAATATTGCACAGATTTTTACCCAAAACTAATCAAATCTGCGCATTAGTTCAGAACATCTATGTGCCAAGTTTCATCAAAATCCAATGAGTGGTTCTTTAGATATCAGTGGAACAATTATGGAACAGCTAAAAATCAGCTAATTACCATGCAAATTAGGTCATTAATATGCATGGATTTTTACCAAAACCTAAACAAATCTGCGCATTGGCCCAGAGCATCTATTCACCAAGTTTCATCAAAAATCAATGTATGGTTCTTGAGATATCAGTGGAACACACACACACACACAGACACACTAACTGCTAAGACTCCCTTTTTGTGCTTCGCACACAGGAGTCAGAAACTACATATTCTCATCTATATTGCATCCTTGAAGTAATACAAAATACTGAAAATAAAGTACAAATAAAATAAAATTGGCACTAAAAACCTGTTCCCTTCATCGCTGAAACAAGAGGTTGCTATTGCCTTATAAAGTAACATTGAACGTTTTCAAATGACGTTGTTGTTCACTGTGCTTCCTGATTGCCTAGTTGTATTCAGTTGCCATTGGCATTTATAAACATTTATAAAGATGGAAGAAAAAAGTTTGCTGAACACATAGGTTAGATGGATTAAACAAAAAAAAATTTGATTTTATCATCCATGTTTTGAATTACTGCGACTAACAGGAATTCTAAATTTACATATTAACTATAAAATACTGCTGGCATTCTATTTAATTTAGCTTTCGTGTAATTTCACTAATTTAAGATGTACCTAATTTTAAAGAAAATTTATTATGATTGTTGTAACTTTAGTTTAATTGAGATTCGGTGTTAAAATGGAAGTGTTTTACAGTATTCAAAAATGTTATCAAAGGGAATTTAAACACACTCAAATGAGAGGAAGAACATACTGAACATCATTGAAATTTGAACATTTTTTATGTATTTAACCCAATTCGCATCTCCCTGCGTCATTTCCTTAGTCATGGCCAATTTAAGAAAAACTTAAATCCCATAAAATATATTCAAAATGCTTAAAACAAATCCATATTCATTTTGAATATTATAAGTACCGGTAGTAATAATTATCTTCACTGCAGTTTTGCCCTGAATGTTTTAATTGTAAAATGTATTAAGTTTTAAGGTAGCAGGGATTTTTTTATGTTGGTTCATTGGCAACACTGACCATCATGATATCTCACCAATTCTGTGACTTTAAGTAGTACATGTACTCATGTGCTTTTTTTTTACTTTGTTGTAGGCTGGAGTGGATTAACACCCATTCACAAAGCAGCTCTGCGAGGAAATCTAGAAATTGTCCAATTATTAATAGCTAATGGTGCTTTTATTAATCAGCCGAACAATGCTGGAGAATTACCCGTCCATTATGCATGCAAACGAGGGAGTCCTATGATTATTCATTTACTAGTAC